CTATCTGCAATTAATTCACTGCTCTTTCTCTTTTCCCAGCTACTTACAGCAAAAATCCTTATTTATTAATACCAGAGTGCTTGCTCTTGCACTTTGCAAGATTAAATTTAATCTCACCTCTATTAGAATAATACTCTAGCTCATCCAATTCCTCTAAGATGCTCCGATCCTCCTCCTCATCTGAGCCCTCCCTCATGCATCTCCCAACACGCTTGGTGAGCACACTCCAACTCTTCCTGCCTAAATCATTACAAATTAATTAAGGTCAATCACGACCAATTTTTGAAGCACTTCACCAGGCATGTCAAAATTTGATTTTAAAGGTTTATTTGTGCCTCCCTTGGTCACTCCCTTTCCATCCCTTCAATAACCAGTTTTTAGACTCATTGATTTCCTCCATCGCTTTGCAGTTGTCAGCCTTCTAATGCTCAAAAATCTCATTCTCTTAAAACATTTTACCCGTTCATCAGCTGGAGGTTCTAACTTCTAAAGACAGGCCTGACCCTAACCTGTGCTCTCAAAAAGGGAGATTGTTTTTCCCCCATGCTGGGCAATGGTTAACCCGTTCAGTTGATTGCAGTACCGGAGGTTGTGTTCAGTGGTGCATCAACCTCGCTAAAACACAACTCGGGCCCCAAGACCGCAGGTCAACAGAGGCAGGGACAGAAGGTACAAAGCAGCAAAGAGATGGAACTAATCAGGTTTGGGTTTTGAAGGGTTTTGGTGAGGTTTACTTTTGCTTGGAGCTTTCTGTGGAGGAAGAGGTGTGGACAAGGGGATGCTGCAGTCGGATGGATATTCACAGTGTGCTCCTACTGGTAACTCAAAACAACACCACAAGTTGAAAACCAAGCTGGAGCTTTGTAAGCAAAGATGATTGCTCTTACATTGCTCACTATACAGTTTGCTGCCTCAGAGGCATTTTTTTTAGCTTGATGAGCTTTCTAAGGCCACTTTGTTGCTGGTCACCAATACGTCCTCTATGGGGGTAGAAGCAGAAATGAATAACTTGGGAGTTATCGTCAGTCTGCCCCAAGGTAACAACATTCTCTTGAGATCCACCCCCAGTAACAATCTGACGCTTCACTGTACATGCTGGATCACAGGTAGCCTCTTCAAGTGATACCAGGGCAACAGTCGGATTTTTTACATTTAACTTTGTGAATAATTTTAACAAACTATTAAAAAAAACCCCTACGAAGTGCAAGGCAGCCAATATTGCCCTCTTTTCTCGATACATAACACGTTAGTGGAGCTAGCCTTCATTTCTGTTGACACGATTGTGTTCAGAATATAATTGATGGTGACCATACTGAGCTGGCTGAGAGCTCCTCTTTATGTCACAAATTAAGACAGGCAATATTTGAAAGTAGAGATCTTTTATTAGACATGTACATGTCAGTGCGGCTGAAAAGCAAAGCTTTTACACCCTCAAGTTTTCCTCCTCTATGTTACAAGACCCTTGTTGGCCTCCAGACTCTTTGAACTGGCCCACACAAGCACCTCACCCATCCCCAGTCACTTGTTTTTCCATCTGGGACACCTCTGCACAGCTCTGAGGGAACCCCACGCTACGGTGCTGATGTCAAAGTAGGGGCCTGGAGATTCTACCATAATAAAAATGGTAAAATAATATAGCATGTGAAGCTTTTTCTGACAAGTTTGATGTTCAAGTTGTACATCAAGCGACAACAGCGGAAGCATGATGAAAATCAGGTTTTATTGACATATTTTAGGTACAATAAATATATTTACATGTTGACACTTTAAACATGGAATTACACGTAAAAAGAACTTGTACATGAGCTCATCTTTGCGTTTCCATTTTTACATTCACTTAAATAGGTATGACAAAGATCTCTTATGCGAGCGGAGGATTTGGTATAGGTCAGTATTACATTCAAGAAATTAGTAGTAAACACCTTGTGCAGATGATGCTGTAGAAAACATGAGGCAGGCGAACTCCCAGTGGAGTCAGTATGATACAGTCGGCTGCTGAATTTATATCCTGAACTGCTAATAAACAGGCTCTGTAATCCAGATCAGAGCAATACATTTGAAGTGATTCTCAAAACACCCAGCCATATACAGTGTTTAAGACTTTACAGGTTAGGAAGGATCACATTCAGTAATAGTAACAGGAGGTAGAATTGTGTCGACAGTGTTCGTATTTCTACGTGGCAATAAAAAAAAAGTGCTATTACTATCACTGAATTCAAGAACAGAACTCCTGAAAAAGTGAAAAGAATAAAAGAGTTGTTAATCCTGTTTCGCCTGGCTTGCCACAAATGCTAGAGCATGTAAACAAAATGTTTTAATTCCGCAACACGGGCAAAACTGCAAAGCAAAACTGTTAAGGGACGCATCTCCAGTGCTTTGGGACAGGCAGCACCTCCTAAGGTGTGATACCTGTAAAAGCAATCTCAACTTCATGTACCAAAGTCTGCAAAGAAAAGTACAGCATGGTGTGCTTTCAGGGTGGGAGATCTAAGCCTTCAGGTATCCTCAAAAGAGCTATAAGGACAGAAAACAGAGGAAAAGATTGAATGCAATGCACTCAGATAGGAAAAAGTCTGGACAGATGAACAGAGAATGGAAAGCGCAGGAACATAACAAGGACACAGATACCCCTGTGGGAATGGATAAGTGGGGGCAAATGAGGTGGAAATGAGGTAAAGCACAGGGTAGAGGCAAAGGGTATCACAGGAAAAAAGAAAGTTGACTTATTCTAAGGGCACTTTGTATCAATAAAAATTGTATGCAATGGTATGGAAGCTCAGCTGTGAATAAATGAGTGTTAGCATCTTGCCTTTGCTGTATCTGTAAATGAAAATGTGTATTAATTGGAAGTTAAACCGCCAAAAGACATTTCACCATCTGAAAATGAAATCCTGCAAAAAATGGTTTTGTTATTTATATAAATAGAAATAAAACCAGAAGGTTCCAAAGTCAGTCTGACAGACACTAAGAAAAAATATAATGCATATTAAAAAACATTATGCACACAAAGAAAATCCTGAATGACTGAAAGAACATTAATACAGCGGTGTTTTAAACTGTGATCTTCCCAGTGACTACACACAACATTGCAATACAGCTACATTTAACTGTACACAGGTTCTTTACAAAAATGTTCTTAATCCGTAATACCATTTAATGTTATTCACGTGGCAAAAATCACTTAGCCCTAATGCTGTTACATTAAATAAAAGCAGTGTAACCTGTTGAAAAACAGTGTATATATAAAGCCCATTTCCAGTTAGAAAAATCAGTGCATCCAACCAAGAAATGAGAAAGCAACACAGGCACCTAAAAGGCCCAGTGAGATTAACTTTCCCCTTGAGGTTTTCTTTAGTGCAATAAGGACCATACTTTCCACCAAAGTAAGCACAGAAGTAGAAAATGGAGGTGATTTTTTAAATAAAAAAAAAAACAAACCCAACCCTGCAAAAAGCAGTGTTATAAAGAACAAAATGATCCTTCCCAACCATATTATACCAGAAGATGGTATACGTAAGGATCCAATATGAATCAGTGGTTTTGTACACAAGACCCTGTGCTCATGTGGATAAGAAGTCATCTCCACGATTAAAAATCAGGTTACAAAAAAACCTTACATAAAATCCTTAGGATTTGATACTAATTGAAGATAAAATACTTTCAAGTATTATATTATATTTATGAATTAGAGGTTAAGGCATGATTTAAGGTAACATTGAAACAAAAGCCGCATGTTACCCTAAATGACCTTTATAATAGAGCTAACTTTCTGCAATCTGTTCAGTCTTTGTTTCCTTCACATTTAATTTTTCATCCAACATGCTGCTAAAAAAAATAAAAGCACAAAAAATAAATTAAAAAAAAAGGTTCATGTCTCTCTGAACAAAAATGCCTTTTTGGACAATGAACAGGCGAAACCAGATTCTACCTTTGAGCATCACGACTCACGTAACAAATGCGGTACTACACGAAGGACAAGAACACCACAATGCTACGCCAGAGAACAAATCCAGGGTATCTCCCGAGTTAGACAAAAAACAGGCAAAAAAAAAAACCAAAAAAACAACAAAACAAGAAATGAAACCCCCTCACCCTCCCGCCCGCCCGCTCCCCCCAGCTGTAAGGGCAACGCACCCACGCACACATACAGACACGCAGGTACTGTGTGGAAGGATTGGAAGCACCCACAGCAGCTTCCAGGAAAATTGCACAATTTCAAGCTAAACAGATAAAAGATACTATGTTTAAAAAATATTAAATAATTCAGCATCAAGTAAAAGGTTTTTTCTTATTCCAAGTAGCTAGATAATGTTAAGAAAAAACAATGAAGACCCTCAAGGTTATTCTGAAATAACCTATGGTTTGGTTTTATATAAAAACCTCTCTCATCGATATTCTTGCATTCTAACATCAAAGAACCAAGATGCTCAGTCTGCTTGCCATGTTAATGGCTAGAATGACTTTTTTTATGGAAATTTGGAAACCTGAAGCGAATCTTCAGACTTAAACTGGGGAATAACCTAGGTATCTGAAGGTACTTTACAGAGGAGGTACCAGTATTTACTCTTCTTTCCCGAAGTCATACTGGAGACTTCTGTGGGCCAAGAACAATATCCCTGTCTAAATTTATTCTCTACCACTGCTTAGAGATAAACATTTGCATGGCAGCTCCTCCAGCTACGAAGATGCTACGGACCTGTCCTCCTCCTGCCTAGCACCAACCATACCGAGCTTTTTGAACACTGCACATGGTTCCATCATACAGTATATGTGCCACGTCAGGTGCTAACACCATGATGAACCAACGTGTTACATGACCAACTTGAATTACGTGTAAAACCAAAATATCCCGAACTTTTGAGAACAATATTACGCGACAGACCTAATTTGTACTTGTACAGCATAATGGAACAAACCTAGAACCCCCCCCATGCCTTGTTCTGACAGTGCACTGTATTTCCCCATAAAAGTTAAAGGACAGAGATTTTTTTTAATTAAAAAAAAAAAAAAAAAAGTAGAACATTTTACTAAAATACCACAGATCATATGGCCAATCCAATCTTTTATCAAGGCAAAGTAGGATTAGTTATAAAGCGAATTCTTCAGTGCTACAAGATGAAAACAAAATAATTTGGGAAAAAAAAAAAAAAGAGCTGTCTCCATATAATCACCTACTGGAGATGCCTATTAAAATCATTATAAAATTATGCTAATAAAAACTGTGAACAAATAATACACAGATCAGGATATATGTATTGACTTACTAGCATCTTTATAAAAATTTGAAGATATACACAAAAACACATCAACATTTATGGAACTGTATCCATTAAACTTAGATAAGACAACACAAAAAACTAACAAATAGCTAAGATGTGGTTGACTGTAAGCATTTTGAGTAACATTTTAATTTTAAAAGGTCAATATTTACATACTACATTAAATGCCTTTTTTTTTTTTTTTGCATCGTATTTTGAATGCATGATAAAGAAAGAACAAGATAATGGTTGCAACAGATCTTCCAAGAAAGTTAACTTAAGATGCTCAGATTTAACTATGTGCTGAAAGAGAACATGGCAAGAACACGTCTGTCTAGCTTTACCTCTACTTCCTTTGGGGTATTTTGGGAGGAGACAGTAAATGGATCTAAAAGAGCTCTATCGTCCAAACTGATCATTGCCAAGAGATTCACTTTTAAGTTAGGATTTGAGAACTAACAAAACACAAACATTTTAACAAATGACTCACCTAATTGCTACTGTTGCTACTGAGTTCTTTAAGATATTAGAGAGATATGGTGACAACACAGGGTGCGAGTATGTATGTATGTATGTATATAATAAAATGCATATAGACATACATACATATAGTAAGTTTACATGTAGTAAGATACCCAGGTACTGCAATAAGCAGCTAAAATCACCACCAGCGATCTGCCCGAACTCTGCCTATGCACAAGCAATAATCTACTGCAACCGCTTTTAAAGAGGATGCATCTAGTCATTAAACAGGCATTGCTTACGTTGCCTCCTACATTTAAACAGATCTGAGGCGATTTCATGTCTTTATTCCAAAGCCACATATTTGTCTGAAAAAAAAATTTTTTTTAAAAACCCAACTGAATAAAAATTGTTAAAACTTAAGTTGGCTGAACCTCAGCCTCTTTGGGATGGATTCAAAACCCAAAGCAGGAGCGTTTCTACAAACTACTTTGACTTTTGAATCAAACCCATATTCTTAGGCTCCAAGAAACCCTCTAACCCCAATAACGTTTGCTTCTGACAGGACAGCTGATCAACTGCAGATGTTCCTACTGCTGAACTCAGCTGCTGGCCTGTCTGGCATTTGCATCTAACCCAGATTTCCAGGCACGCACTATTATCGCTCCACTCCGAGATGTCTTCCCAACCTTCTCATGACAGAGAAGCTGCTCCCTAACTGTGGGATGAATAACTGTTTAATGACTTGGTTTAGAGATAAGCATTTACTTCTTAAAAATAAAAATTACATAACCTGAGGAGGCAGCATAGGGGTCCTAGCGTTCTCGGTGTGAGGAGTTAAGCAGCACGTGGCAGAGCCACTCACCACCATCAGCTCGCCTGAGTCTTCAGGGTCGGCTCCCACCGGGCACTTCCTACCTGCAGCTCATTCTCTGTCCTGGACACCCTGAAGCACTAACAGCACTTGATGTATAGCAATTGTGCTGATGTTATGAATTATTATGCATAAATGGGGAACTATACAGACGGGTGTAAAACTCACTTCCACACAAAAATTCTCCTGATGTTACTGCATCTCATCGCTAAATTGTAAACGGGCTTAGAGTTTTTTTTCCCGATGCAGTATTTCCAAAGTACCACATTATTCTGTATTATTTCAATGAATAAAGAGCTGTCTTATCTAGAAGACTTTTGACAGTATTTATTTTTCAATCATTACTTTTAGTAACTTCTACTTAATTGAAAATCTGGACCAACATTATAAGAAAGCCAATTAGGTCTTTGTGACTTGGTTACCATTAAATCTTCAAAAAAATAAAATCTACGCTACTATAAGCTTGCTTAGTTCATCCTTCCACGCTTGGCATGCCTATTTTGGACCCCATTCGCGGCTGTTGCATTACATACCAATAGTGTTCTTCTGCGGTCACTCGGGTAACAAACCTATATGGTTTCTGTAAGTCCCCCCCCATTCAAATTGTAAGTGGAGTGCTTAAGCATACTCTTAAAATAAAGGATGAAGCAAAAGCTCACAGTCTAAACACTAAGGAAATGTTCATAAAAACTGGAATCCAATATAAAGAAGACATTTTAATATGTTTATTCAGAAGTAACTGAAAAAAATTGTTCCTTTGGCAACACCATCTAGATGGTTCCAACCAAAAGGAAATATTATGGATTTTACTTTGAATAAAATAGAAGCTCCTTAATGTTTGCACGTAATTTTTGGGAACTGCCACGTTCACCAGCAGATTCACAATGTCCTTATAGTTCTGTATTTATTGGGAACAACACATCAAACCAAGACCTTTCAGTTATGGGTTTCTCATGGTTCAGCATTAGTCACAAAATAAATCTCAAAGAAAAAAACCTAATCAAAATAAAGCATAAGGCAATCATGAAACACTAGCCCAAAAGAACTATTAGGAATGCACCACTCTTCCTGTGTAACATTTTTGAAGTGAGCCACCAAATATTTCTTTTTCCTTGTATCTGGCAAAGTCATTTAAAACAACCTAGTTACAACTTGGAGTTCACTACCCCACGATGCTACTGAAGGGCAAAAATCCTTGTTTTTAAAAACCAAGGGAAAATACAACAATGTTATTCCTACACAGGGTTTTATGGAATAAGTGGAGTTGGAAGGAGAAGATAGAAGTCTGCGTTGGAATAGAAAAATGCAAAGACAGACTTAACTTATGTACAAAGATCGAAGCTACAATTTTCCAGTGTCACCTTCAAAGGTTCTCAGCATACTGCTATTCAGTGAAGTACACCACGATTAAATCTATGCAAGAATACCTTCTGTGCTCTCAGATATACAACGTTAACTAACGTGTTTTGTTTAGAAAAGTAAGTTTTCGTTCAAATACCTGGCACTGAAGATAAGAGCAACCATTATCAAATATTCTTTGCTATGAAGAAAGTTTTTAAATCTTTCGATGTAAACGTTCTCTCTCAAGTCACTGTGCTCACACAGTAGGATCTTGAAGAACAGTGTCTCCATGCATTGAAAGCATTTTGAAAAAAATCTGTAGTTCCACGTGGTTACAACAGAACGTGAACAAACCGAACAGAAATTCCACCTTTGCAGATCCTCTCAAGTTCACCTCTTGTGGAGGACATCTCGCTGCTTTCGGTAGTTCAACATAGCAATTAAAGACTAAGATGAAAGGTTTCACAACCCGATGGTTTTGCCACTGCGTCTTGCGTAGCTCCACAGCACGCTTGTGTTAGTGTCAGGGTTTCTCTCAGCAGACATCACTCAACTATCAGTGCCACGTTTATGTGGGACAGATCTATCATGTGCCTGTTAAAAGTTAAAAGAAATTTAAGCCTGGTACTCAAACTGATTCTAGGGGTGGAGAACAGACAAGGAGGTTCTATGACGGTCACTAATAAACAGATGCTTGATTGGCTTAAGAGACACATTGAGCAGAGGAGACTGATTTAATCTTTTGAAGGGAGGGAAGAAACCAAGGTGGCAGCAGCGCTTAATTATTTACCTGTGGAATTTCTGTTGAAATGCTAAAGCATGCGCTGGCTCCTTAAATTTTGCTATGGCTTTCCGTTGTTGAGGAAGCATCTGTAAACTCTGCAGAGACAAAAAGACAAAATATATTTTTAGTAGTCAATTAAAGTTCCCTTTGAAGTAATTTTGCATCAAACCCATCAAAATTTTGTCATATTTCGTTTCTCAGAAACACTTATTGGTGTCCAGGGAATGGAAAGAGACTTCTGAGACTGCAGCCAGAGACTCAGCTGAAGGCATTTGAGCTGGTACATTAAGCAACCGTACTAACTGGAAAACTCAGACCATCACTGTTAAGCAAAGGCAACAGCTCTTCAATTCAATCCATACAGATGAGCCAAACCCTGCAGCCGAACCCCCACCAACTGAATCAGAAACATTCAACCAGGCAGAGCTCAACTTTGCACACAAGCGCCTGGGAGTCATTCACCTGATGTACATTGAAGGATTGGGGCTTTCCACAGGTTAAACAGGACACAAACAGGAAAAAAGCGTTAGGTTTTGATCTCTATACTTTGTACCCTCACACTATTTAAACAAAAACAAGTGGCTAGCTTTTGACAGACACTAACAACCACATAGTCCCAATGAGATGGCTTAGGTCACCACTTCCAAGTCCTCCCAGTAATGGGAAACCATGCAACACACATCTACCCAGACAAGTCCACGGCATACATGCTTCCCATACCATGACAGCAGCATTTCACAATGCTGTAACCGTCAAAAAACCCCTGTGTAGTATTGAGGTCTCCAAAACTACAGCATGCCTCAGCCAAGGCTTTGGAGAACTCATGTCCTCGCTCCCTGTTGCAGCAGGAAAAGTCCAGGCAACACCAAAATGATTGCAGAGAGTGGTTCTGTGATTCCAGTGTCTCGCAGCAGGTTTTGGATGTTTAATAGCCTATACTGCAGCACATTCAAGACAGTCGTTTTGATTCAGCATCCAGTTTTCCAATTGTTGGATGCAAAATTAAAGAACTCCTAACACCTCTCTTTTCTGTGCATAAGTTTCCACATAAAGCCAATCCAATTTTGTACTGAGCTTTATATATAATATGTACGTACACACACACACATATAGGAACCTTAAAACTTTTCTAAATTTCATTATAACCTCCTAGTGGTTACGTATAAACATAACTCTCTGCTCCTGTATCTCGCCTGGAACTCGGCAGCATCCCACCACATTTGGATGATTCCAGCACACTGATGGTCAGTCTCCAGGATTCTAAATTTCACCTGCAAAAACTCTGTATCATCATCTAGACTATTAAAAAAGGTACCACATATCCTTACACAAACAACTATTCCTTGGGAAACTACGTACAACCCCACTTGTTGATACATTTTAAGGGTAACATACTTGGAGATCTCTCCGTGAAATAATTTTTTAATTCAATGAATGCGTTCCCTGTTCATTCAATCTAACAGCATTTTAAGCAAGATATCAAATGCCTAGATGAAATTTGCTATTCAAATTGCCTACTTATATCTTTTTTGAACAGGTAAGACTTTTGTTGATAGGATGCTTATTTAACAAGAGCCATGGCACCTGATAGTCATATTTCTTCATTTCTAAGCCTGACAATTCAGCTCTAGGCTCTTTCTGTAACTTACCTATCTGTGATTTCTAAAGTCATTCGTTTTGGCAGTAGCTACCTTGCACCTTCTTGTAATTGACAGGAAAGTTCCCTCTTGCCAGGAAAATCGTAGAAGTTTAATACTTTCATCACTCCTGCGATTTCAAAGCAAAAGCTGAGGGAAAGTGAAAGGATTCAGCAAACCTGGCAAGCTTCAGTGGGTTATTTGCCCTGTATAGTTTTTGGAAAGCTGCTACGAGGGAAAGGTTTAGTGAAGTCACTGCAACTTCTTAGTCTCTGAGCTGGCAGGAATGGGATTTATCTTTAAAAACCCAATACACTTGGCAGATGATTTTTGGTTGTTTGGTTTTAGTTATTGTGGTTTGTTTGGGGTTTTTTTGTTTGTTTGTTTTGTTTTTTGTTGTTTTTTTTTTAATCAGAAAGCTCTTGACAAAGTTAAGCACATTGTACTGAGGAGGATATGGTCATGCTGCACAAAGCATCAGTGGAAGACCTTGGACAAAGCTCAGTTCTCCCAGAGGTTATCCGCTGGAGTGAGTGAAGGAGGTGCTGAAGTTTGTGTTCTCCTCCTTAACTGCTGTCTCTTCATCATGATTTATAGAACTGTACCCAATATATTCTCTTCACACCACTTTTCTGGATAGAAAAGGACTAAAGACTAAGCACGTCCTAGTACTAAGTTTTGAAGACTAAGAATTAATCACAGGCATTAAATAATGAGATTTAGAAACAAGAGACTTACTTGTAAGAGTTTTAAACAAATCTCTGAACTGCAATCAAAAAAAAAAAAATCAAGAGAAGTAGATCTGGCTCTTTTGTTCCTTTCAAAGAACTTGAAACTTTTCATATGAGAAAAACCCATTTGAATCACTGAAGGGACGAATATTTCAGAGAACGGTGGGACAAGAGGAGCTGGAAAAGACCCCGGAGATGCATTCCGTCAGCTGTACCCTGCATGTCCTGCAGTCACCTCCTCCTCTCCCCTCTCCTGAACCATCTCCAGCCCTCCCGCGGACAACTGATCCTCACAACAACGTCAGGTCTCACTCAACTACCCCAGGAGACTCTCCCAATGCTTTATGCTCCAGACCCCTGTTGTGATCAACTGAAGGAGAGAAGCTGCATTTAGTGACTTTTTCCACAATAGCCAAGCTATTATTGCATTAATATTCTCGAGATGCATAAAAGCAAAATGTGATTTTGCATTATTAGGAAGCTGCTTGTTAATTAGCATATAAAAAAACAACTAAAGGAAGACATTCCAGTATAGTGCAGGCAGTAGAGAAATTAGGCAAAGTATCTAAATCTTATTATAGACAACTTATTTATACTGTCATATGAACTAATAAAGTTTATTGACTGACTAGTTTGGTTATTATGTCATAGCCTGTTCTTATGCTGTATTACTGCCTTGTTATCCAAAGCAAAAAAATGCAATGAAAACACTAAATACATTTTAATTTTAATACTCAAATGCTCTGGCAACAAGGCATCAATTTCTGGGTAAGTCTACTGAAAAGCATCTTTATCAGATTGAATTTCACTTGTCAATACAGACAACTGCAGAAGCAAAAAGCCAACCCATCTGATCCTTTGCTGAACTGCCTAACCACCACCCATTACACAGCCCAGGGGAAGGCAGTGACTTCTAGCACATGCTTATGCTTTAACCAGAGACAGAATTAAGGACCACAAAATGAAAGGATAAACTAACGCTATACAAACTATATTTCTCTGGTTGGAAACTGTCCAAAAAATGTTAATTCAAAGTGTTCTAATACAAATTCTCAGCCTCCGCTGCGCTCAAACTGTGGTAGTGAAAATGATGCAGAATCATTTAACGTTTGTTTAGGTATCTCAGGTATATGCACCTTATATAGGTATATATAAAAAAAAACCCAACCTTCTTTTGTTTTAACATGAAAAAAAGACAATTACAAAGCTAAGTTACTTTGACGACATGACCACCATGGCCTGAAATACCACCATAAATATCTTTGCTGACAAAGATTTTTAATATTTCAACATAAATCATGATCTACATTGTATTTTCAAACAAATCCTCATCTATCATGACTTACAAGTGTGAACATTATTCGTCCGGCTAACAAAGATTTCTTGAAAATTTATGTTCTGATTTTGGGACAGTATATACTTACTTAAACCCGAAGTTTTATGCTTAACAACACCGATCATCAGGCTCAGAACAAGTACGTAGGATTTTGCCAGAGTGTGTAGGGGCTGAGCTGCTGCTACCCCACCCTGAGCAGATGGGTTACCGGCCAGGCATACAAACCAGTGTTCCACTTCAGTGGAAACCTGAAGTAAAAGAACTGCATACTCATCCTAATGGATTATTTCCGTCTCCTTGAATTTGGGGTGATATGCATTTTAGAGCTGATCCTGCATTTAGATGATGTTAACAGTGATAGTCTAAAGAAAACACATTTTTTGTGTAACCTGTGGAATTTTATTAGCTAAAAATGTTGTTCAAGGCATTATCTTAAAGACTTACTTCACCAGCTTCTGCTTTTGTTGATTCCAAATACACGTGCTAGGAAAATGCATACAAAATTAATTAATTTTGTGTATCTTAATTATGCTACCTTGCTAGTTTAATAGATTTATTTTTTTCACCTTTTTTGAATAATTTGGCAGACATTTTTTAAGTGATAACATTCAGTATTTCTAGCATCCAAAACATTCTCAGATAGTTTGAGTGCTTGCACATTCACCACAAGGTGATCTTGAAATAACCTCCTAGAAAGGTGCTATCTTTAATCACGCTCTTTCACCAGACTATCCACACTGTATTAGCCAGCTTACTTGTAAAGAATGCTCTAATAAGTTTCCAAAATTATTGGTACCACTGTCTAATGTATTTAATTAATGTAAAAAAGCATTCATCTTTCATTTTTAAAGTAAAACCCGAAGTACTGTAGAGCTTGCACCAAAATATCTCCAATATATCTAATTTGTAGTTCCAACACAATACTGTACATCAGAATAGGTTTAAATTTGTGTGATTTCTTTTCCTACCGTATAACTACTTGTGGAGAGTATGTTGTAACAAGTTAAACAAAAGCTTCACTGAACAAAAGCTCTTCTTGCATGATTCTCTATATAACTAAATCAACTAATCTAGTATTTGCACATATTTATCTATTGACCTTGTTTACTTTTAGAGCTAAAGACATTTATTTGAAACTGCTACATGTTCAGAAATAAGGGTGTTTTTTTAGTTAATATCTAATATCATGAACAGAAACGACATGATTTTAAAGGAAGCAGTTAAGTCTTATTTTTGGACTACTGACCTCAATAGCTGCTAAAACTTCCACGTGAAGCATGAAATTATGGATGTCTCTCCTACAAATCACCATACAAGAAGCTTTGAAGCAAGAACTAACTATAACAGCAAGAGGCTGGGAAGATCACTGCGAAAGTAAGGTGAGAAAAAAT